ACCTGCTAGATAGGGTGGGGGCCAGATTGTCTAAAATGGCATCAGCTAGGATAGCATATCTGAGCTTCCTGTGGTCTCATCCTCTGGAAGGCTGGCCCCAGCTTGTCGCATGATGGCGGGACAGGGTTCAAAGAGAGCAAGGAGAGTGTGTGAGACTTGAAATCAACACACCATCACTTCTGGTACATCCTATTGGCGATAGCAAGTCACAAGGCCAGCCCAGATTCAAGGAGCGGGGAAACGGACTCCACCCTCGGTGGAAGCAGCTGTAAAGTCACATTGCATAGGGTATGGATACAGGAAAGGGCAGAGAATTGGGACCATTTTTGCAAACAATCTACAACTTTGGCTCAAAGGAGATGGACCTTTAAAAGCTCCTAGTGGGAACTGGAGGACCTCATTCTTTTATTTTATTTTCTCCCATATGACTGTGGTTCATTCAGTGTAAATAGGCTGTCCTCCATATCTATCTGGGCATAAATCTCTAGAAGTAATCATAAGTAAAATTATAGGAAATAAGTATTAGAAGGCTCATTGACTGTGGTGCCTGTAAGATGTATCTATGCAGTCTATATCTCAACAAATTCAACCTGGTTATTCCACGTGGGTGTGAGAATTCCATTTTGCTTAGGGCCCAATTCAGCAGAGAAGATTTTTGGGAGGCTGGTATCAACACTCAAATTTGATTTGGATCCCCACAATTACCCTGGGGCTACTCTAGGGTAAACTCCCAAATCCATGCCCCCTCCAACTTCCCTGGAAACTTCTGGATTCTCTTGGGCTGCTCCAGATCAGAGTGGAGGCACTCCCCAGCTGGTGCAGTGGAGGAAGCAGTGCCCAGAAGACAGGAGAGATGGGTTCTAGCCCTGTCTCTACTACTTACTAGCTTTGGGTCATTGGACAATCATCATCTCTCTGAACCTCAGTTTCATCATCTGTAAAATGGAGACAATAATATCCATCTTGCAGAGTCATGGTGAGGATTCAATGTAATATAGTTTGATATAATATAGTAAACTAACCTCTCTCCTTTACAGCCAGCTTTAATATTTGAGGACTGTTCCTAGATGACAGGAGGAGTGGGGAAGGTAGAGTAAATTCTCCATTAGCCCACAAATACCTCAGGCCTTTCAAGGCATGGGGGCCAGGGCATCTCTTTGTCTAAGCATCTGGCTTATGGCATTGAACATTTTACAGGTGTAAGTAGTTACACACTTCAAGTCAAAGCTTTAAAGAACACAGTGCCCATGCCAGTGCCAAAGCCGTGGGCAGCTATGCTACCTCCTTGATTTGGATGAACTCTGCCCGTGCCTGCACAGGGCCCCATGCATCAGGGTGGCTGCCTATTTACAAGCCCCACCTTCACCACTGAGCACTGATGCAGGTGTCATGTAGCACAAGGAGAGCAAACTTGTTTGGTTAGATGTCTGACTCATCACTCACTCACAGCTTGACAGCCTTCTGAGCTTGTTTCAGGTTTTACTTTAAAAAAAAAGGTAGAAGGTGAAGTGGAAATAAGATCCTTTTATTAGAGAACATTTTCCTGAGGGGTTATTTTCTCGAATGCTAATCCAGACCCAGGTTGTTATTATAAAGGTGCATTGGGGCTAAAACTTCAGTGTGGGCCTTGGCTTTTAACCCATTACTGGCTCACTCAGTGATGGCCACCGAGGGATCTGTGTAAGGGCTGAGATGCTTAAAGAGCTGCCTATTGGTAGCCAAGGACCCTGATTTTTCTCTGCAAACTGAAGGCCCACTTTTATTATTTGCCCTTAAGACCAGGAATCCTTGCTTGTAGGTAGGAAGGAGCTGCTGGATCCCATGCAACATCCCTGTGTCTGGCCACTGTCTAGTAATGAGTTTCTTCTGGAATCAAGTCTGAACCAACATTGACAGCCGTTTGCACAGGGTGCACGGTGGCTACACAGTGTCAAATGAAGTTTGAAAGTGAAAATGTGGGTCCCAACAGTGGGGGTCAATGGATATGATTAAGCAAGTTTGGCAAATTATAGCCCGCAGGCCAAATCCAGCCTGTGGCCTGGTTTTGTTTTGTTTTTTAATTAGTAAACTTAATTTTTTAGAGCAGTTTTAGGTTCACAGCAAAACTGAGCAGAAGGTACAGAGATCTCCCATATACTCCTGCCCCCACACATGTACAACCTTCCCCACTATCTACATCCTGCACCAGAGGGGACATTCATTAGAATCAATGAGCGTGTATTGATACATCATTATCACCCAAATTCCATAGTTTACATTAAGGTTCACTCTTGGGGGTGTGCATTCTATGGCTTTTGACAAATGTACAGTGATAGTAGCCACCATTGTAGTATCACAGAGAATAGTTTCACTGCCCTAAAACTCCTCTATGCTCTGCCTAATCACCCCTCTCTCCCCTTATCCCCTGGCAGCCACTAGTCTTTTTACTATCTCCATAGTTTGCCTTTTCCAGAGTGTCATATAGTTGGAATTCACAGTATGTAGCCTTTTCAGATTGGCTTCTTTCACTTAGTCGTATGCATTTAAGTTTCCTCCATGTCTTTGCATGGCTGGATCACTCATTTCTTTTTAGCATTGAATAATATTCCATTGTCTGGATGTATTACAGTTGATCCATTTACTTACTGAAAGATATCCTGGTTGCTTCCAAGTTTTGTCAATTATGAATAAAGTCACTGTAAACATTCTCACGCAGGTTTTTGGGTGGACATAAATTTTTAATTCATTTGGGTAAATACCAAAGAGTGTGATTGCTGGGTCATATGGTAAGAGTATGTTTAGTTTTATAAGAAAATTGCCAAACTTTCTTCCAATGTGGCTGTATCATTTTGTATTCCCACCAGCAATGAATGAGAGTATTGTTTTTCCACATCCTTGCCATTATTTGGTTTTGGCAGTGTTTTGGATTTTGGCCATTCTCATAGATGTGTAATGATATCTCATTGTTTTAATTTGCATTCCCCTGATGACATGTGATGTGGGGGATCTTTTCATATGCTTACTTGCCATCTGTATAGCTCCTTTGGTGAAGTGTCTGTTTAGATCTTTTGCCCATTTTAAAATCAGGTTGTTTGTTTTCTTATTGTTGAGTTTCAAGTGTTCTTTGTATATTTATCAGATGTGTCTTTTGCAAATACTTTCTGCCAGTCTCTGGCCTGTTTATTCTCTTGACGTTGTCTTTTACAGAGCAGAAGTCTTTAATTTAATGAAGTCCAGCTTATCAACTATTTCTTTCTTGAATCCTGCCTATGGTATTACTGCCTGTTTTTGTAAATAAAGTTTTATTGGAACACAGGCACATTCATTTGTTTATGTATATCTATGGATGCTTTTGTGACAGAGACCACTGCCTGTCTATGGCTGGCAAAGCCTAAAATATTTACTACCTGGCCCTTTACAGTTGCCAGCCCCTGGGCCATACACATCCTTCTAGAAATACAACCCCATTCCCCACTGTCCAGCTCTGTGGGACACCCTCTTCTCTCCGAGCTGGGATCCCTCAAGCCAGTGAGCATCTTGCGTGCAGGAGAGGGCCTGGCCTCAGAGCTGATGATACCCAGTACCGGGCCCTACAGGCCTTCAGGGCCTGGCTGCAGCAGAACAGTGTAATGAAGAAACAAAGAAATGACTTTGTTGGGGGCTGTATCAATTTCCTAGGCTTCTGTGACAAAATACCGCAAACTGAACGACTTCAATAGCAGAAATTTATTGTCTCGCAGTTCTGGAGGCTAGAAGTCTGAAATCAAGGTGTTGGCAGGGCCGTGCCCGAGCGCCCCTAGGGCACTAGGGGGGGGATCCGTTCCGGGCCTTCCAGCTTCTTGTAGTTCCTTGGCTTGTAGATGGTATTCTCCCTGTGTCTTCTCAATGTACGTGACCCTGTGTCCAAATTTCCTTTTTTTATATGGACATGTTATATTGGATTAGGGCCCATCCTAACGACCTTACTTTAATTAGTGACATATGCAGTGACCCTATTTCCAAAGAAAGGCACATTCTGAGGTACTGGGGGTTAAGACTTCAAAATCCAACCCACAGCAGGAGTTCTCTCTGTCTGCTGCAGGCCTACGCCACACAGTAACAGGAAGGTCTGAGGACTGCAATGAGCAGAAAGAATCCATAACATATAGCTCAGTCGTTTATTAAACTTCCCCATACACACCACTATGGTAATTCCGCATCATTTAAACCTTACAAGAACCCTTTGCAAATGAGAAAACGAAGTCCCAGAGTGTTAAGTAATTTCTCAAATGCTGGAGCAGGTTTCAAACCCTGGTTGGCCTGATTTCGAAGCCCATCCCCTTCCCACTAGGCCAGTAGTTCACAAACTACTATCCTGGAAGGAGCAGCATCAGTATCACCTGGTAACTTGTTAGAAATGCAAACTCACAGGCTCCACCCTAACCCTACTGAGTCAGAAACTCTGTTACAGTAGTACAGGGGGATTGTGATACTGCCAAAGTTCTAGAACCTCTGCATTGGGCAAGAAAGCATGCAGGTTGACACTTATGAAGCACTCATGTGCCAGGCATGTGGCCGGTTGCCTCCATTTCCATTGTTTTATATGATTGTGGTAGGCAGAAAAATGCCCCTGCAAAGATGTCCACATCTTCATCCCTGGAACATGTGACTACGTTACCTTATGAGGTAAAGGGACTTTGAATGATATGATTAAGTTAAGGATCTTGAGATAGGGAGATTATCTTGGATTATCCAGGTGGGCTCAATGTAACCATAAGGGTGGTTATAAGAGGGAGGCAGGAGACCCAGCGTCAGAGAAGGAGATGTGACAATGGAAGCAGAGGCAGAAAAGGAGATGTGGAAATGTTACATGGCTGGCTTTGAAGATGGAGGAAGGGGCCACGAGCCAAGGAATGCAGGCAGCCTATAGAAGTTGAAAGAGACAAGAAAACAAATTCTTCTCTACGGTCTCCAGAAGGAACACGGTCCTGCTGACACCTTGATTTTAGCCCAGTGAGACCATTTTGGACTTCTGACCTCCAGAACTGTAAGATAATAAATAGGTGTGGTTTTAAGCCACTATGTTTGTGGTAATTTGTTATAGCCACAACAGGAGACTAATACAATGACCTTCCTAACACCCCTACTAGCTAAGTAGCGCATCGCTTTTGGTGTGAGGAAACTTAAGCTCAGAGAGGTTAAGCACCCTCAAGGTCACATAGCTAACCTAGGATTCAAATCCAGTTCTGTGCCTGCAAGCCCACTAGAGCCTTGCCACTCAAAGCAGGGTCTGTGGACCGTGGCAGCAGTATTACCAGCAACTTTTCAGAGAAGCAGCATCTAAAGCCCCATCCTAAAACTACTGAATCAGAATCTGCACTTAACTCATGGGCACGACAAAGTTTGAGAAGCCTGGACCACACCCGCTTTATCCTACGATGCTCCCTGTTTTGGACATTTCCCCCGTTTTGAAAAATAAACACTTGTTCAAAGTGACTGAAGCACTGCCAGAGGGTCAGGACCCTTGTTGGAAAGAATCCTCTTCTGGGGGATTGGTTAATTTGTTTTGATCTATGCAAATATCCAACTTTAAGCTGCAAAGGCTGATGCCCAGAGCAGCCTCGTTCCCAGCAGCCAGGCCTCTAAGCTGTGCATCAGCAAGCTCGTTCGAAGACCCACTGCACTCAGGCCAACTGCTGGGCCTTCTCCAGCAGCTAAGCCAACGGCGTAGAGGCTGTCTGAATGATGTGGAGTATAGACCAGCACACACATCACCTGGGAAGCTTAATAAAATGCGGATTCTGCTTCAGAAGTCCTGGTATTTTGCATTTCTAATACGCTCCCACCAGGTGATGCTATTGATTGGTGGGGGTCCTCGAGCAGCAAGCTGTGGGCACTCACTCCTGAGACCACCATCTCATCAAGGTTTCTTCTCCATTTAAACCTCCAAGCAAAGGCTTTCAAAATCCCGTGGCTCATCAGCCTCACCTAGGTGCTTTTCGACAAAGGGTGGACGTCCACGCGTTTGGAAACGACTGCTTGAAACCACAGAAGCAAATACCTCCTCAACAAATCTGCTCCACCTCAAGTCTGATTTTGCATGAACTCAGTGCCACTGCTGGAAACATAAAATGCCTTCCTCCTCGTCTTGCTAAGACTTCAGACACTGAGGAGGCAGGACCCTGAGAGGGTGGCTGAGCTGCCGAGGGACACACGCCAAGACAGCAGAGAGCCCTGAGAAACTTAGCAGAGGGCCACAGAGCTCCCCACTACAAGGTCACGGACAGGCCAACTCTGTCTCCTCCTTGCTCTCTGATCCTGTGCCCTTATCTTGTGACAGATACTATTAGTGTGACTTCCACCGCCCCTTGGAGGGGAGGGCAAAGTGCAGCAGCCTGCAGGGACAATTTACTCCCCACATATGGTTGTAAAACACTGTAAATGAAACTTCAAAGCCTTTGGGCAGCCACTGCCCGTGGATCTGCCTTTCTCCAGAGCCGTCCTCAGCAGCCTGTGCAGTTCTGCTCAGAGGTGACCTCAGCGCCCGTCTCTACCCCCGCCCCTCCAATCAGCACTCCCATTAAGAAAGCGGCTTTTATGACATCACCGGTGATTAAACCGACCTAATTTCTCCCAGGCTGGCAGAGTCAAGAGCCTCATTCAGTACAGAAACCTGCTCTATGGGCCTCAGCTAAGCCACTTGAGAAAAAAAAAAAAGACCTGTAATTTGTTCTGGGAGGAAAAGAAAAACGGTGTGCAGCTGCAGCTTGCCGCACGTGTGACGTGGAGCAGGAGAGACCCAGGCGTTCCACAGCCAGCCCCTCTCTCTGCTGGGGCCTGGGGTTCCGGAAATGCTTGGTCCTTCGTGCGATGGACGCCTGCTGAGCAGAGAGGGTATAGTCGGTGGTAGTTCCCTTGGGGAGAGCAGCAGCTCCTCCTCTGTTATCCCGTTTGCCGCGCTTGCTTGGGATTTGCCAGCTCATCTTTCTCACCTGCGGACCCACCAAGCTACTTCTGGCTTCTTTGTTCATGCTTTTTCCCATACCTAGGGTAGCCTTTCTTTTGCCTTGTCTGTCTAATGAACTCCTATTCATCCCTCAAAACTCTGCTCAGGCTTTGATTCTTCCAAAATGCTTTCCTCCCCCACCACTCAGAATGAACTCCATGCATGTGATTCGATTCATTCTGGGGCTGTCAAAGTGTGGTCCCCAGACTGGAAGCATCAGTATCACCCGGAAACTTGTTATAAATGCACATTCTCAGGCCTCACTCCCAAAGTATGAAATCAGAACTCTGGGGGTGGGGCCCAGAGGTCTAGATTTTGATAAGCCCACAGAGGGCTCTGATGCACGCTAAGGTATGAGAATGATTGAGATAGTTCACGCATCACACTGTACTGTGTTTTCATCTGTATTCCATAGTGGTTTCTGAGCTCCTGAGAGCTGACGTGGTATCGTAGTCACCTTAGCATCTCTAATCTTTAGTGCCAGACTGGGTATACGCAGGATGATCGTTTTGAAGGACAAATCTGATAGGTGAGCTCTACCCCTACCCCCTCCCCTTGAACCCTTCCGTGGCTACCCATTCCTCCTTACTATGATCTGAGTGTCCCTGTGCATCTGACTTCTGGCTAATTAGAAACTACTAATTCCTACTATCCTTTAGTTCCAGCTTAAGTATCGCTTTCCCGTGCAAGCTTCCCCTAATCTTCCTCCACCAACACACAAAGTTAGGACCCCATGAGACACCCACCCCCATAGCCTGTGCTTTTCCCCTGCGTCACTGATCACAACTGTCATCATGCGATTCTTCCTGGAATATTTGTCTTCCCCATGGACTGTAAGTTCCACAAAGGCTGGGATGGTATGTGCACTCCTGCATCCTCAGTGCTGGCCAGTGCCTGCAACACAGTAGGGCTGCTTCCTCCCTGGGCCCATCATCCTTTATTCAGGTGTCTTTACCCCAGAGCTTGCGAATTTCCAGGTCCTACTCACGGTTCCTTTCCACAGGCATGGGAAGTCCCAGACAATACGGCTTCTGGCAGACTGACTTGCCTTGCCAAAGCTCACGACCTGGCTTGCGTGGCAAATAATGAAAGAGCTTGGGGAGTTTCCAAGTGGCTATTCGATAAATCAGTCTGCATTGCCCGATTTTCATTTACTGCCCCTGGGTCCTTTTGGCTCCCTGACACATTAGCGAGTACTTTCATTCCTGACTTTAGGTTTTCTAACTTTGTCTGATCAGAACAGGGGAATTCTTCATGATAGCATGCTGATTCATTCTGCAAAGTAGAGCCTGAGCACCTCCTGTGTGCCTGGGGCTGAGGACGGAGTGGTGAACAAGACAGTGAAAACCCCCTCCTCATGAAGCTTACCTTCCAATGGCTGTCTTCGCATTTGTGTTAAAAGGAGAGTGACGTGTTCCCAGTAAGTAACATTTTGCTAAATATTAGAAACTGCGGTCCCTTTGAAGGTGAGCTATGGGTTTAGCGTTGTTTGGGAGATGTGGGCACATCTCTGGAAGATTGTCTAAGTTTTCCCTAAAGGCTCAAGGAGTCTATCCTCGGCTCCTAGGTGCTGTAATATGCACTCTGAGGATTCAGTTGGTTTCTGGCTTCTAGGGTGTGGTATTCACTGTTGTGACAAACTTGGCTGTTAAAGAATGTTCTGTGCTTGAGAAGTTCATCTGGAGATGGGAAAGGAAGCCAAGAGCAAATGTCCTCATCCTCTAGTGTGATCCACCTGTTGCTTGCTCCCCTAGAAGCCTGTGCTTTCTCTTCAAAGCCCTTCATTTTTCTATGATTATAGTTTCCCCTCTCTCCCTCTTCTCTCTCGCTCCTCCTCACCCTCTCTCCCTCCTTTCGCTGATTTGTGAGCTCATCAAGGGCAGGGCTTCCTCTGTCTTGCTCACTGCTTATCTCCAGAACTCCATCACCGCCTGACACATGGTGGGCGTCTAAAGTCGGCGTTAGGGGGTGGAGGTAGGAGAATGAATCCTCAGGTCTTTCTTAGACCTGCAATGCTTGTGCATTTGAAGTTTTTATTTTAGGGCCGATGAGTTTTATTTCTGAGGCTTATGGCCTAATGTAGCCCTTACCAGTATTTTTAACACTCTTCTTTCAAGTTTTTGAGTAAATCTGTTTTATTATGAGTAATCACTGCCTTTGTCAGGAGTTCTCCCCAGAGGCGGAAATTTGTGCTCTGCTTCTGGCTGTGCCTCTAGTGAATTAAGTAATCCTGAGTAAGTGCCTTTGCCTCACTAGCCTCTGATCTTCCTCCTCGTGAAAGGAGTCGATGGGTCTTATGATTCCTTAGGTGTCTCTAGCTCTAAAATGCAGCTCATATTCATCCAGACCTAGCACTTCTGCAGGGTCCCTTTCAGGATGTGAGTGGGCAGTGGGAATTTTCCAGAAGTTTCTTTTCTGGAGCTGGGGATGATAAGCAGCCATAAAGTGTTGCTTCCACCTACCTGAATTGCCCACCCTGCTCTCCACAATGATGGTGTGGGAAGTGCCACCAACCCCAGAAGCCTCACCCCTGCCAATTCTGCCAAAGGGCAGGTCGTCAAGATAATTTTCCAGCCCTGCTGAGACGTTAGTTCTCCTTTCCTACAAGTTGGCTGCTCAGATATCTGCAGACACATGACTCCTCTTTGATGCTCGGCAGACTCCTTAGAACCTCCTCTCAGGGGTTGTGTTTCTAGATCTCCTGTAGACATCACCTCTTCTGGAAGGGCTGCAGTGATTCATGGACCACACACATTTGCTGTCTGGTTTTAGAGCTGGGCTCATGACATCCAGCTAGCTCCTAATCCCTGCCCTAGGCTTCCCCCAATCCCTGTAGACCTGTCAGCAAACCAGTGATTAGGATTAAGTTCCTCAGGAATCGCATTTCAACTCAGTTATTCATTTACTTTGAACAAGATGCTACTTACCAACTCTCCATGCCAGTGTTTTCTCACCTGAAAAACTGGAATTAAACACAGAGCTTGGCGTAGATTTCCTGTGAAATGGCCACTTGCTGCAAAAGTGTTGCGTAACAGGGAAGTCACGCTGCATGGAGCTCCTCGTTCTCCTTTCTCTTCTTCCTTCTCCTCCTCTTCTTCCGCTCTCTCCCTTCCACTCGTCCTCCTCCTTCCTTTTTGTCTTTTTCTAGTGTGACATTAAAAAAACCCCACACAGGTAGTGAAGTGCTCAAAACCCAAGAAAAACTTAACAAAATTTTTGTAAAATGAATATTTGTGTAATTACCACCCAGGTCAAGAAACAAAATATATCCGCTGCGGAAACTTCCCAGGTGCCCTTTCTAGCAATAAAATCTTCCGTCCCTCTAGCAGTAACCACTATCCTGATAAATTTTTTATCATTTCACTGTATTCAAAAGCCGGACACAGATTTCTTGTCTGATTCCATAGATTTCATTCAACAATAATAAGAGCTAGCACCTATCCAGTGCTTCCTGTGTGCCAGGCATTGTTCAAAGTGCTTGACATACCGACTCTTTTCATCCCTACAACAACCTTGTGAGATAGGTATCATGATTGTTATCCCAGTTGTACAGATGAGGAAACTGAGGCACAAAAGGTTAAATAACTTGCTTGGGGTCAGACAGATAGTAACGAGACTGGATTTGAACCTAGGTAGTCTGGCTTCTGAGACTGCACTCCTGTTGACTGTACGGCTTCTTGTTAAATAGGATCTGGGAGCTGCACTGAAAAATTATGATACCTGTGCAGTCCTTCTGCAGGCACTTAAGAAGAAGTTTGAATAATTATAGCACTGAGGCAATCCAATCCTACTTCCATCTTTACAGTGAAACCAATTTAGCTGTGTGTGCGTGTGTGTGTGTCCTTTCTGGACATCATATTCATTTCAAGGTTCAGTTGTCTAGCATCACCTTTGCTGATCTCTTCCAATACGGATGGGGCCAACTTTTTAGGTGCCCAAGCCACTTCGGGTTCTACAGGCCCCAGAGAGTGACTCTCATTTCCAGAATGGCATAACTCAGCTCTTCGCAAACTTTTTGCCAAGAACTGCTTTTCATTCTCCTGCCTTGACTAAGTAAAAATAAATGTCCCCCTTCCCTCCTTTGCTTTATTATCCAAAGACATATATATCTGCTAAACTTTGCTTCTAATCTCCAGGAGATAAGTAATTATAACCAGTCAACCTCAGCTCTTAACACTTATTAGCTGTGTCAATCTAAGCAAGGCATTTAACCTCTCTGTGCCTCAGTTTCCTCATCTATGAGAAGGGGAATAACGTTATCTCCCTTATTGGGTTGTTTTGAGCATCAAATGAGATGAGTACAAGGTGCCTAGACAGAGAAAGTGCTTGGTAAATATTTGCTGTTTTTATTGTTAAGTTGAAGGTAACGGTAGTTCTATATATGAGCTTATCTTGAACTCTAGCCTAAAGCAAAGATATCTGGATATTTGTATTGGCCTGTTTACTTTTACTTAAGATACATAAATTATGCTAGACTTCTTAAAATATTGAAAATAATTTGTGGCTGCCCCTTGCCTTATTCCTTTGTAGAAATCCAGGTATCTTGGGACCCCAGATAGGAAACAACTAGCCTAAGTTTTAGCCATGGAGGGTTTTGGATATTTACAAATTCTTCCCTAATTGGCTTTTTATCACAATTACATAATCAACCCTTGATTACTTGGGGACTGCGGTCCAATTGGAGGAAAGTCCTTGGCTTCCTCCTGCTTTCTTTATCAGTCCATTTCATTTCTTGTTTGTTCCTTTCACCAAAATTCAAGGGAGATTTTGAACAGCAGAGGATAGAAAAAGAGAATCAATCAGCCAAATTTGTTACTTGTCATTAACTAAGGTTGAAAGAAGAGGGTGGAACTACTGACCAATGTGCATTTGAGATTGCAATCATCCCTGTTGTCCCAGTTTTCTGTTGCTGTGGAAAATTAAGGTTTGCCCGTATGTCAGCTGCTGGGCATTTGGGCAGACAACGTTGTGTAGGAGAAATGCACAGGCATTATGGTCAGCTCTAGGTTTGAATGGTGGCGTCCCTACTCACTACCTCTGTGATCGTGACCAAGCTTCTCTAAGGCTTGGTTTCGTCATCTGTAAAATGGAAATAATGCCCATCTCACTGTGAATATTAAGTGAAATCATGTACATAAAATGCCTGGCATCCAGCAAGCACTCATTAAAAGTTCATTTCTTTCTCCTTTCTCTTTTTAGTTGGTCTGTGAAAACAAGGTGATGAGTCAATTTGGTGAAAAATGAGTAGAAGATGGTGACCTAGCTCCACTTAGCCAAGTAATTTATTCATTAACTATATTGTCATCATCTTACCAGTGTCCAAAAATTGTTTAGAGACAGCTTAAGTGTTACAGAATAGTCAAGATTTTGAAGGAAAAAAATGGGGAAATTGCTACAAAGGCATCAAGACCTGACTCCACCCCTCCACCTCCCACATCCTCCTTGCGCTATCTTAAGTCAATGTCTCAGATGATGATGACAGTCATCATCATCATCGTATCATCTTTTTACAATGTTCCTACATATGCATTGTCTCATTTCATTCTCAGTCGTAATGACTCTGTGGGATGGTGGATTACATGTTATCTCCTTTTTCTGATGAGGAAATTGAAACTCAGGGAGATCAAATGACTAGCCCAAATGCACGCTTCTAAGCAATGGATGGAAAAAGATTGAACACATCTCATGATTCTAGGTCCAGAGAGTCTTTACGACTTCATGTTGCCAGGTATAAAATAATGATTCTGTCTGATTTATTTCTGAATATTTGACATATTTAATTATGCTCTTATCTTTTCACTTCCTTACAGAAGATCTACTTCTCTGAAAGAAGTATTTTAAACTTCAACACTATCATATTCACTAATTTCATTACAGATTAATTTCTATGGTAACAAGTTTACCAGAAATCTCTGTGTGTATTTTTTTTCCTTCAGAAGCTATCCAATAGCCCAGTTAAAAAGAAAAAGAAATACATTCAATTCAAAATCCCAAGTGAACTTGGACAATTTTTTTAGTTCGTTATGATGGAATTTAATTTCCATGCTATTTGGGACTCATACTACTACTTGGATGAAAAACAGTTTCCATTAGAGATAAAGGGCCTCTTCAAGAACAATGGAAGTGGAAGGAAAAAAACCCAGATGCTTGAAAAGAGAAGAGTTATAAGCAGATTGGCTCACTTTAAAAGGTTGAGATGGAGATTCATAAAATAAATGAATGAATCAGCCCAATCTGATAGAAGGCTTAGAACCTCTGGTGGGAGGAACTGGAAGCATGATCTTGGACTCATGAGGATGGACTGCCTTCCATCACCTCTGAATCATTGTCCCTGGGTCATGTGAAATGTGTCCTCAAGCTAAAAGCCTACAACCTCCTTGCATCAAGCCTGGAGAAGTTGTCAACCACTCTGTCTTACATATCCTTTGACTTCCTGAAGTTGGTCTAGATGTTTCTACATGATCCCACCCCCATCTGAGCTGTTGGCTCTGACTTACTTTCTCTACCACCATCTCCCTTTATCTCCCCATCTTAGTTCCTCAGTGCAGGGGGTATTTTCTCTGCACTGGGGAAGGAACTACAGATTAGAGTCTTCCAGGCTTGAATCTGATGTGTATTGGGAGTTAAAGGAATTCAGGCTGGCTTTAAAGATTATTGTCTTGGCCATTACATTTCTTTTGAATGTCAAAAGCCACATATTCTTTCTTTTGAATTCATGCTATGATAATTCTAAACCCTCTTGAGACAAATAGATGCCTATGGTAGAAGTGGGAGAGAGATCAGCATATTAAGGAAATTTAAAAAAAACATAAAAAACTGTTGTATTAAATAAGAAATACAAGAATACATTTTTGTTATAAATATTCAACAATACAAAATATGTAGTAAAAACAAAAACTCCATCTTGCCTTATACCCTTACCATCCCACTGCCCTCTCTAGATACATCTGTCATTAACAGTTTATGGTCTATCTTTCCAGATCATTTTCTGTGTGTTTATGTACATATATATGTGAGGGTACAAAAGTATAAGTTTTGCTTTTACTTTTAGTGAAAGTGACTTTATGGTATAATCTTCTTTTACTTAACGATACGATTTGTAAATCATTCCATATAGATCAACTTCACTTTTAAAAATTGATGTGTGGAAATCCATCGTATGGATGAACCATGAGTTATTCAACCACTTTCATGATGTACTCTTAGATGGTTTTATAACTCCTTACTCTTACAAATAGTGCCACAGACAACATCCACCTCTACATCTCCTTGTACAGGATTTCAAACCTTACAAACATGGATGCTTTACAAGAATCTACTATGGAAATTGACGACATTCCATATCTGCTCTTTGGCTACCTGTAAACATGAAAAGTAATGCTGTCACTGGTCCCCATTTCCAGATGCTAAGCCTCTGCTTTAATTTGGGTCATTATGCTTCTTTTTCACTACTCAACTAGTTCCGCTGAAATAACACAATCTTCAACTTGTTTTTCTCTCTATTGAAAAAGTACCACAGAATCAATAGAATAAGGCAAATCCAAAGTATTGATCAACATATGAGCATATTTTTAGTATCGTTATTTCAGAGAATAAAGTTGAAACTCACAGTTCTTCATCTGAATAACTGTAGGAGGGCAGCGTTTTTCTTGTCAGTGGAGTCCTGGCCCTGGTTCTCTCAGTGGTGGTTACGCACAGCAGCAGCATGCTTAGATTACCATCGTCAAGATGAGGACTTGAATTGCTCCCTTCCATCTGTACAGGGCGCCTCAATGGAGCACTGGCTTCTTGTTCAGAACACAGTGACCAGTTCTCTTGTCACTTGTTTGTTGCTACCCAGTTTAGTGGTTCACCACTGTGGTTACTCCATGCTCCCTTCTCTGCTTCCATCGCTTCTACCACTAGCATCTACATCATATTCTCTCTCTCATCCAAACCACTTTCCAGCAGAGTGCATATTCAGTACTTCCATCAGGCAGAGTTCCCGTGCCAGGCTGTCTCATTGATCACGGGAGAGATGAGCTCCTTTGGGTCAGGTGCTCATCCCTAGTCCTATCAGCTGTGTCCAGGGGAGCATGACCACGTGATATAAGCTTAGAACTCAGGGAATTTCAAAGAGGGGGCCGTGATGGATATTCAGTGACATCTCAGAAGGGGACAGAGTAACTGGCAGGCCCTTTGCATGCCAATCTGGCGTATCTGGAAAGGGCATCCTGCTAAAACTTTTGTTGGGAAACTCCTTGTCAGTATTTTCAGGCTGCAGGAGCAACAGAGGGAATCACTGAAATTACATCTGATTATAATGTGTTTCTCAGGGAAATAAATAGCCCAAACTGAAGCACACTTCCGGTTGTCAATTTTTCACAAGCATCCTGGAACTCAGTGACAGTTCTTGAAGATTGATATAGACCTCTGACAGTGAATTGATTGTTCCAGCAGAGATCTTTAATGAGATTGTGCACACTATTAAGGAACCACCATCTCCAGCATATTACAATGACAATGGCGAGATCTTGTGAATACGGAAAGCAAGGCAACTTTCCTGCTCATTTCTTTTTAAAAGCACCAACCCCTAGCAGCAAGGCCTTCTTGTTAATTAGTTGTTAATTATTGGGACAGCTCGTGAAATGTTTGTTAAAGAGCTGGCCCACTAGCAAAGAAAAGAACCCAGAGAAAAAGACTGAATTGAAGAGTAATAAAAGGAATGAGCTAGTTTTTACACAGTTGACTGGCACCAAGGAAATTCTAGCAACTTACTCTTCTGGTACAAGATGACAGGTACTGTAGAAATGCATAGTAAACAGACAAGAATAGATGAAAATATAATAGATGCACAGAGCTGGAAGAAACCTCAGTAATCATCTTCCCTTATTTTGCAGACTGAGAAACACATGTAACAGAGCATAAATGAACTGCCCAAGGTCACCTTTCTAGTTGGTGTCCCAAGAAATCAATTTAGCCCAGAGATCTCATCACCACCAGGCCCTGTTGAAAACCAAGCGTTACGGTATTTGTCTTGGACCTCCCATTCATAAGGGGCATCTACTCTAGTGTTTTTTTCTTTACCCTCAATTGAGGTTATAACATATATAGTCTGGTGTTGCTTAACAGCGGAATAATTTCCGAGAAATGCTTCGTTAGGTGATTTAGTCATTCTGCAAACATCATAGAGTGTACTTACACAAACCTAGATGATAAAGCCTACTGCACACCTAGGCTATGTGGTACCAATCTTATGGGACCACTGTCTTACATGCTGTCTGTTATTGACTGAAACGTCCTGACGGGGTGCATGACTGTATAGTCAAAGCAACACACTGACAGATTTAGAATTGTCCTTCATATAACTTTAAACCCATGTTCTGTTACTCTATAACTAAACCACACTATTTTGATGCATTATAAATTAATACTTTTAAAATAAATTTTGTGTGAACAATTACATTGTGTCATTTACTTATTTTTTTGCTGTTAAAAGTTAATTTGTTACATGTGTATATTTAAAATATCCCACAGTTTTTGTAACCTTGTTTTGGCATTTTATATATTTTGTTTCTCTTTTTCATTGTAAATGTAATTTATTTATTTATTTTTATTTTTATTGAGGTATAATTGACATATAACGTTATATTGGTTTCAGGTGTACCACGTAATGATTTGGTATCTGTATATCTTGTGAAATGATCACCACCATAAATCTGGTTAACATCCATCTCCATACATGGTTACAAAAATTACTTTCCTAATGATGAGGAATTACCAAATCTACTTTCTTAGCAACTTTCAAAATATGCCAAACAGTATTATTAACTATAGTCACCACACTGTACATTAGGTCCCCATGACTTACTCATTTTATAACTGGAAGTTTGCACTTTTTGCCACCCTTGACCCATTTTGCCCACTGCTCCACCATCGTTTCTTTACTTTTTTTAATGTTCTGAAATCTCCAAAAATAGGAGTGGCCCAGGCTTCTGAAAACCTCATAGAGGTCTTGTTCACTGTTCTACACTCTTTCTTTACAGAACATCACTTTCATCAGTGATTTAAGTTGACACAGTGTCAGGTTGTAGTTTTCTTAAAGGCAGAATGTCTTAGTCCATTTGGGCTGCCATGACAGAATATCATAGACTGGTGGCTTATAAACAACAAACCCTTATTTCTCACAGTTTTGGAGGCTGGGAAGTCCAAGATCAAGGCACTGGCAGACTCACTGTCTGGAGGGCCCACATCCTGATTCATGGATGGCTGTATTCTCATTGTTTCCTCACATTTTGGAGGGGGCAAAGGAGCTCTCTGAGATCTCTTTTATAAGGGCACTAATCCTATTTATAAGGGTTCCACCCTTATGAGCTAATCACTTCCAAAAGTCCCCACCTCTAAATAACATCATGTTGGAAGTTAGGATTTAACATTTGAATTTTAGGAAGTCACAAACATTTAGTCTGTAGCACAGGGCATTCCGTGTTGCCCATCTGTAGGGTTATTATATGGAACCCAGAACATTGCCAACCAACTCCTAGTAGCTATAGACTACCTGAATGCTACTCTTGATAAAATCTTAGGAAAGAAAAGTTTATATTTTCATTCTGTATGTTAGCCATGGTGATCTATTGGAGCAGCTCTGTAATATGCCTTCAGACCTATTCCCATGCACAACCATCTTTTAACTTTGTATTGTGGGTAAAAAAAAAATTAAAGTAGGATTAAAGTAAGGGTGTTGTTAAATACACTTTTATTCTCCCTTGAAAAGTTGCTGTAAAAGTTTGTCTTTTCATTCTGCCTTCTGCTTACAGAAGCTGCTTGGAAAGCATCGCTACATTATGTCAAATTTATAATGAAACTATAGAGAGCCTATGCAGCATATGAGAACCAAAAGGAAAGATGCTTCCTGTTCTTTGGGAAAGCCAGCCCTGGTGGTCAAGTGGTTAAGATTTGGCGCTCTCACCACCGTGGCCCGGGGTTCATTTCCCTGCCAGGGCACCACACTACCCATCTGTTGATTGTCATACTGTGGCAGCTGTGTGTTGCTATGATGCTGAAAGCTATGCCACTGGTATTTTAAATACCAGCAGGGTCACCCATGGCGGACAGGTTTTAGCAGAGCTTCCAGACTAAGACAGCCTAGGAAGAAGGACCTGGCCATCCACTTCTGAAAAAATTGGCCATGAAAACCTATCAATAACAGTGGAGCATTGTCTGATACAGCCCTGGAAGGCGGGAAGATAGTGAACAAAACTGGGCGGGGTCCAAATATGCTGTACACAGGATCCCTGGGAGTCGGAATCAACTCAATAGTACTAACAACAACAACAAATACTTGAGGAAATGTTTCAGTCCCCTACAGTGATGCTGTGATGTGGTGCCAGGTGTCCAGCCCCACCTGACTCTCCCAATACTTCTCTCCTTAGCTCATTCCTCTTTCAAGTTTTACTATCTGGACTCAGTGGTTCTCAAACTTCAGCCTGAATAAAGATCACCTGGAGGCCTCCTTCCCAGAGATTCTGATTCATTAGGTCTGAGGTAGGGCCCAGGAATCTGCATTTTTAAGAAATGCTGTATGAGTTCTCTTGCAAGCATCCTAGGACCACACTTGAGGAACTCTGATCTACACATTTTCTCACTAGCTCCCTCGGAGAGATGCATGTCCTCATCTCTCCAAATTACGGGCTTTATTTCTCCGTTTTGGTGATCCACTTGCAGAGCAGCTTGACTGATGCCTCTCCTCACCCAACCTGACTCCTGAGATTCTTCTCCTCTCACCTTGCCTCTGGCAGGGAAGATGGAGGGAACCGGGGAAAGAGCGGACCCCCATCAGATCTGTCTACCAGTGCAATCTCTCCATTGCATTGCCTGTGAACATTCTTTGAATGGATCTGGAAAAAGCCCAGGTCATCTGGGGCCAGTTCTGGAGAACTGGGTTTATGATCAAGTGAGGAATTACAGTTTAGAATCAAAAGCTATGCCTAACTATAACACATATTGTGACTGATACTCTGGCTTGAGTTATAAACGCATGTAAGGCACCAGATGGAGTGTTTCAAAAACATTCTCTGCAGTGATTATGGCAATCACATCCAGGTTGCCCCAAAATGGATGAACAGGTTGCTTACAATGTCCTGCTGTTTTCGTTGGTTGGGCAGCCCTTTTTATTAGTTGACCGTTTCTTTTGATTCGTCGGTACTTTTGCTATTCTAGCATTTTTTAAAGATTGGCACCTGAGCTAACATCTGTTGCCAATCTTCTTTTTTTTTTCTTCTTCTCCCCAAAGCCCCCCACTACATAGTTGTATTTTCTAGTTGTAGGTCCTTCTGGTTGTGCTATGTGAGACACCGCCTCAGCATGGCCTGATGAGTGGTGCCATGTTCACCCCCAGGATCCGAACCAGCAAAACCCTGGGCCACCAAAGTGGAGCTCAGGAACTTAACTTAACCACTCAGCCACGGGGCCAGCCCCTGCTAGTTGTTAAATATTTGCACTACTGGAATTAGTATAGGATTTTTCTCTTGAAGGACAAAACTCCTGAGACTATTTCAATTCTGAGTGTTTTTTAAAAATCCAGCCTCATGAATTAATAGTCATACTTTGTAGGTCACTTAAGTCACATGACTCATTAAACCTGGTTAATATTTGTCCTATAACATGTATTCCAGGCATTAACTCATTATGGGCTTGATGCGTGAAAATCACCATGCTGTTGTGTCTACTGATACAGGCATTACCTTCCAAAGCATATATAAGGTTGGTGACTTAATACCCTAAATAGCCAGCAAAAAGAAGCCCTTAACTTTTCTGGCCACATCCTTAGCTTGATTTCCTGCAGATGGTACTCTGCTGATTCATTTCCTGATGGTGCACTCTAGTTGATTGTTTTATTCTCTCAAAGAATGCTGTAAATTGTAGTTTGCTTATGGTTGGGTGGTGATGGGCTGGGCTGGAATTTACAGTTGAGAAAGACCACTTTAGTTTATAATAAGAAGCGTACAATTAAGTTTCACTGAATAGGCTGAAGAAATATTTATAAATATATGTCTGGGTATGTGTATATACGGAGTTATATTTATTTTTAACCACTCATACAATTTAAATTAAGTATAAATATATTCATATACATGCTAATGTAAAGGCCACCATGCCATTTAAAAAATTGCCTATTTAAGCTCAAATTTTGAGGTTAAGAAGAGTGGGCAATTCTCAGTCCTCATCTTACCTGACTTATCATTATGGCAAAGATCAAATTCAAAGGCCTCTCAGGGAAGCATGATATACAATGAAGCCAGGGCTGTGACTGTAAAATCCTTGGTAAGACCTCAGAAAGATCCAAGACAGTGCCTTAGAGATCTGTTGATTCAAAGAACACAGCTTCTAGCAAGCTTAAGGGTGATTTCCCTGAGCAGTCTCAGCAGAAGTTCAGGATACAGAAGGCCTTATTTCAAGAGTTTTGTGGGTGTGGCTTTTGACTAATGTAGTGAACATCAGTAATACTTATAGGTGATCCACAAAGTTTTAAGAGAAGAGTATTGGCAAAACCATCTCCAGGGTGGACTGAAAGAGACAAAAACAATACAAAATGAAGAGGCCTTTGGACCTCATGCTTTATAGGCAGAAAGAAGTCTGAGAAAGCTACTGAGCTGCAAACCTTCCATGGAAAAGGAAGGATATCTTAGAAGGCAAAACCATGAGCCCAGAGGGTGAAGTCAGTAGCCATAGAAAATCATTACCAGGATTTGACTCCCAATCAAGGGATTACCGACAAATAACCTGCTGAATTTCAGAATTTCTATGGATCAGTGACTCCAGTGTGCCTCTCTTCCCCTATGTGACTTTCCCATGCCTATGCTATTATTGTATATTGGGTTTGTTGAGGCAGATAACTTATTTCTTTATTTTACAGGTCTTCAACTCAAGAGAAACTGTTACTCAAGCAATTGGACTTGAAGAGCCTCATCTGCACATGGATCTGGTTTAGATGGTGAGAGTCTGGACTCTGAGCTCATGCTGTGATGAGATGAGAGTTTGGGAGACCTTGAAAGCGGGTGAGTTTATTTTGCGTGTGAGAGGGCATGAATAATTCAGAAGATGGACTGTAGTAGCCAGTCTCTAAGATGGCTCTCAGTGATCCTCTCCTCCTGGAATTCATGCCCTTGTGTAATCAGTCAGTCCCCTTCCACAATGAACAGTGCCTGATCTGTGTAATAGGGATGTTTTGAAAGGATGCTATATGATTCTAGTGGCCAGGTTATAAAACACATTGCAAATTTTGCCTTGGTCTCTTGGATCACTCACCTGGGAGAATCCAGCTGACATAACACAAAGATATTCTAGTAGCCCTATGCTTGAATTCCTTACCCACAGAAACTGTATGTGATAAATATTTATTGTTGTCTTAAGCTGCTAAGTTTTGGGGTAAGTTTGTATACAGCAAATAACTAGTACACATAAAACCTGTAAGTTCAGCCATATCTTTGGAAACTTAGATCTCAACACATCACCAGCCGTTCCTAGAATATTAACCTTAAATGTGATGCAGGCTGACTGTCCATTCATGGACTATCAGGTGTTGTCATGTGTGTGTTGTCAAGGAAAGGCTATTTCATTTTCCATCATTCTTAACATATTTTATTTGTCAAGTTTCAAGGAAAGATGATGTACAGTATAATTATGAGTACAGAATATGAATTCAGCAGGTCAAGAAGTATATCAGTGAATTATTGCTGTGTGACAATGGCCTCAAAACTTAGTGATTTAGTAAGTTGATTTTTGAGAAGGATTCTAAGACCATTCAATGGGGAAAGAATAGTCTCTTTAACAAATGGTGTTAGGACAACTAGAGATCCACATGCAAAGACTGAAGTTGGGCCCTTACCTCACAATGTATACAAAAATTAATGCAAATTATATCAAAGACCTAAGTAAAGAGCTAAAACCATAAGTCTTAGAAGAAAACAAAGAAGTAAATCTTCATGACCTTGGATTTGGCAATAGTTTCTTAGATATAACACCAAAGCACAAGCAAGAAAACAAAAAAATTGATAAATTGGACTTCATCAAAATTAAAAAATTTCATGCATCAAAGACACTGTCAGGAAAGTGAAAAGACAACCCACAAAATGGAAGGAAATATTTGCAAATCATGTATCTAATAAGGACCTAGCATTCTGACTTTATAAAGGACTCTGACAACTCAACAACAAAAAGAAAAACAACCCAATTTCTAAAACAGGCAAAGCTTTTGAACAGACACAGACATTCCTCCAAAGATATACAAATGACCGACAAGCAAATGAAAAGATGCACATAATTAGCCATCAGAGAAAAGAAAATGAAAACCATGATAAGATACTGCTTCACAGCCACTTGGATGGCTATTAGAAAAGAGAGAGAGAGAAAATAACAAGTGTTGCCTAGGATATGGAGAGATGTGGAGAAATGGGAACCCTCATGCATTACCAGTGAAAATGTAAAATGGTGCAGTTCTTGTGGAAGCCCATTGGTGATTCCTCCATAAATTAAACATGGAACTACCATATGACCCTGCGAATCCAGTCCTAGGTTTATGTACTCAGAATAATTGAAAACAGTTGAAAAACAATTGTTCAAACAAAAATTTGTGCACAAATATTCATAGCAGCACTATTCACAATAGCCAAAAGGTGGAAATAATCCAAATGTTCATTAACTAATGAAGGGATAAACAAAATGTAGTATATCCATACAATGAAATATTATTTGGCAATAAAAAATAATGAACTACTGATATATGCTATAACATAGACGAATGAGCCTTGAAAACATCATGCTAAATGAGAGAAGCCAGACATAAAAAGCCATAAACTGTATGATTTCATTTATGTGAAATATCTGAATAGGAAAATCCATAGAGAGAAAACAGTTTAGTTGTTTTCAGGGGCTGGAGGGAGCGGGGAATGGAGAGTGACTGCTTAACGGTTATGAGGTTTCCTTTTGGGATGATGAAAATATTCTCAAACTAGATAGTAGTGATGGTTGCATAACATTATGAATATACTAAATACCACTGAATTGTACATTTTAAAATGGTTAAAATGGTAAATTTTGTGTTATGTAAAAACAACAAGAAGTGTAGTGACTTGAAACAACAATAATTTATTAATGATTCTGGGCTTTTCTTCTGTTGGTTTCACCTGGGTTTACCCATGTTATCTGTATTCAGCAGTTGGACTGGAAGGTCCAAGCTAGCCTCACTCACATGCCTGGCAGCGCTTCTTCATGTGGCTTCCCATATTTCAATAGTCTGTTCTGGTTTTCTTACATGGCAGTCTCGGGCAAGTTCGAAGAAAACTACAAAGAGTTTTTGAGGCTTTGGCCTGGAACTCACACAGCACCATTTCCATCACATTCTATTTGTCTAAGCGATTCGTAAGACTGGCCCAGACTAAAGGAAGGGGAGGTAATTATTGCTTCTTAATTGGAAGAGCAGTGAAGTCACCACGCAAAGATTCCATGCGAAGAGAAGTTGTTGCAGCCGTCTTTGAACACAATCTACCACAAGTAACATTTATCTCATTCTCATCTTTTAATGTATATTTTATTAGATTTTTATTTTTTGGACTAAGACAAATGATGGATTGAGAAACCAAATAGCTCGGGTTAGTTTAGATAGCATTTGAGGAACAGATTTGTGATAAAGGTACCACTTTTTCCAGGATTTGGCTTAAAGCAACTTACATTTTGGGTGTTCTGTAGGATTCTTTCTTGCCCTTAGATTCCAAAGAAACCATAGCAATACTCCGTGCTCTCTTATAACTTTACACTGTCTTTAATTAGATTTCTCTATTGCAGAAATCACACACACACACACACACGTACATAAACACATGCTCACTATGATTATATGTGTAGAGTCCTATGAGAATAACAATAATTTAATTTCAAAAGTACCTGATTGCATAATCAGATACCATTTTTCCTTGACTTCAGAAATGGCACCCGCATGGTCATCTTTCTCTTCTAAGCCTGGCTCTCATGCATCTTGTATAAGTTACTGGTGATCCTTAAACAATTGTTAAGTGAACGAATGAATCCAATGGTAGGTAAATATTTGTGGTTTGGGGTTATTTTGAATAACAGCAGTAAGTTTTCACTTTATGAAAGGGTGATCTGCTTTCAATCAAAAGAATAACAGAATGAGGCGGAGCAAGTTGCGAGAAATGTTAGATTGAGGAGTTTTCTTCAGAGGGAACTGCTGTGTATTTTATTTTCTGTTTGACCCTGCTATCATTTGGAACTTAGACATAACTAGGAAACACGTTCCCCTGATTAAATGTGAATGTGAATGTATCATCTGTGGGTGACATCATTATATTTAAGGAATCTGCGGACAAGATTCTTTCAGTTTGGTCTGCATAGTTCGTAAGCGGTAGGACTCTTCCGACAGGGCTGCAGGCTTAGACTCCTAGAAGCATCTGGTGAAGTGCTGAGGGACAGGAAGAGAAGGTAGATGCTAGCTATGTCTTTGCACTCATACTTTTAAACTCTCCTGAAGTTGTCACATCAATGAGATGAGCTTAGTTCAAATAGCTTTCTTGCAATGCTCTCCATGAAGTGCCCCTACCATCAAATCTCCGAGTCAGAGAAGAGATGTGGAATGTCCCAGTGTGATAAAAACAGATCTGACTTGTAGCTTTGGCTTCCCCATCTGTCGAGTGATGAAAATGAATGCAGCAGTAACTACACACCCCTCTCACTTCCTCTCTCCTGTTCAAGGAGGACTGTGGGAACCAGCAGTTGATCAGAAAGCAAGTAACAATGGTATGTCACAGAGGGGCGAACTTGCAGTGAGATCTGTGAAATCTCGTAAAGCACAGGAAGTGCCAGGTCTGCTGGGTTGGATTGATGTTAAGGCGGTTCACATCTGCAGAGCTTGAGATTTTCCAAAATCCTTTTGGCTAAGGAATGCCAACGATAAGGGGAATCCCTGACTCACTATTTGCATATTGATTTAGAAAGAAATGCAGATTTGATCATTTGGTTTCTGTGTAACTTTATAGTCAAAATGAAACTAGAATGTGAATATTAGAGTGTGTGAACCTTCTTAGTATGAAGCTTGACTGCTGCGGCATTTAGGAAACCACGCTGTGTGATAGCAGCACTCAATATATACACTGTCCTTGCAACAGGTGACCACTGAGGTTCAGACCCTAGTAGGATCCAGCAACTCATTGCTTGCATACGTGGGTGTAAGAAATAACAATATTCATTGCACATTTTCTTTGTGTTTGATTCTAATCCTCTGTGAATGGATTCACTTAAAAAAAGTAGTTTTAAAGGTACAAAATATTGATGTTTTTCTTTGATACACAGGAGTTATAATATGTGTTCATCATTAAAACAAATTTGAATAGAAGGAAGACTATGCTACCCAAACACAACCACCATTGACTTGTATACAATAGGTTCCTCTAACTGATCTCTACTTAAGGAAGCCACCAGATTAATTTATGCAGCCTCCACTCTCACGGTAAAGCTCATGTCTGATGTCTTCAGCAAGCTTAATGCTGTTGGCATTCTCAGAGTGCATCTGGGCACTTTTTCCACCAGTTGTGTCGTCTGTTTACCAAGAGTCAGTTTGTTTGTTCCCAGCCATGTTTAAAAAGGTTGCAATTGAAAATTTGTAATGTAATTAGGAATTATGTAAATGGATGAAAACATAATGCAGAAAAAACATTCTTAAGAAAACCAAGTGGCTTTGAAAAGATTTGATAAAGGTAAGCCACACACATACGGTTAGATGAGGTGTAAAGAAGCAACTATAAAAGACTGAAAGTAAATCATTAAAATTTAGCAGGATTCTCTCTCCCATTACTTCGAAAGTGTCTTTCAGTTCTCACTTCGCTTTAAAGAAACTGAAAAATTGTAGCTGATCCATTAAAGGGTAAGAGACTGAGTAGTTGGATATTGTGACATTGTGATTTATAGTAAGAAATATATATTTGGTTTTCGCTCCAGTTTCTGGCACAGAGCTCCTGAAACACTTGGAATTTCCTAAGTGGTGAGA